AGTATCACCCCTTCCTCCTCCCCACCCTGCCCGCCTAGTTCCTTATGGTTTTCTCACGGACATTATATTTACATCTTACCTTCCCTATGTTGCCTTTGTATTGCATTATTTATATGTCCAACTGCAAATTCTGCCAGCCACTTGTAGTCATCTGCATTTTCTTTGATCTCAATTTCTTTGTTAAAACCTTCACATTTACATCTGGTCAAGGGAAGCATATCGAGGTCTGCGCATGTGCGGTTTGCTAAAATCTCTGAAAAGATTCCTGTCACTGAATAATCATCAGAGTCCATTTTTTGAGGATCATACAAACTCATGAACGCTTTGTGTACATCTTTAAGCGCGAAAAGGCGCTTTTGGTTTGTGACCAGCGCGTTCATCCTTCGTGGACCAAGTTTTTCCTTAATGCCATCAGGTACAATCATAAAGAATACTGGATCGTACAACTCTTTGCCTCCCTCTTTTGTGTTACGAAACGGAGTCCTTGTGTGACCGTGGTCGGATAATATCAACGTAAGAGTATCGGGGAAAGAAGCCATATCTTTGAAGAATTTGGCCATGTTGGCGTCCATGTTGATCATCCGTTTACCATTAGTCTCGTGTCCAGTATTAAAATGTGTGTAGGAAAGCAAAGGTTTGGCTTTTTCGTCGCTTCTAAGAGCCGTGTACACTTTTGTTATGTAGTCCATGAAATACCAACTGTAAAACCTGCCATTTAAACAGATTTTCTGGGGAAAATCAAAATGGTTGGTCCTCCTCAGAATCTTTTCTAACGCCGTGCATGAAAAGTGCGTAATACCCTGATGGTCAATTTGTTTCTTGGCCACCTTGTCTTGAAATTCCTTCCACCTGTAACGAAACATGCTTTTTAACTTCTTATGATAATTCAATAAGCAAAGCACTATTTTATTACTAAGTTCTTAGTATGATTTTATTTTCATAGGTGGTCTTGACTGAATACTGACTCTGCCCCGAAGATCTTTGGTTGTTGTGTGAACTCACACAGACAACCCACTCGGGTAAAAGTATTCAAAGGAACTTAACTTGCCTGGTATCAGTCAAACTCTATAAACACATATCTTACTAACATCATACTAAGGTGTGCATGGCGAGATCAAGCCTCGATCAAGCTATAGTTAGTCAGCCACAGGCTCTTACACATTATAAGTACCTTTTTGCTCAGCAGAAACAGTCTAACAATTACCTTAAAAACCTACATAACACCTGTATCAAAACAAAGCATCATTACAGCATCAAACATGCGGCATGGACCAGGTTGTTACCTTTCTCTGAACTCAGAACCCGACTGAGGTGTTGCTCTTTTACCAATGTCTGTTAAAGCACTCCCCCAAATATCATACCAACAAAGATCCTCTTGAAAGAACGTCTGGTAGCCCCATTTCTTGAAGGTCCCATACAACACCTCCACACCCAGGGAGGCTTTGGTGTTTTTTGCAGAGGCAGTAACTTTGTTATCGTCTGAAAACGTTACAGACAATTTCTCATCAATGACTGTGAATTTATGGAAATCACATATGTGAACTGCGGATGATAAATTAGTATGAGAGTGATCTTCGCAGTATTGAACACAACTTAATGGAAGTAGTGACTCATTTCGACTGCTGCTTAAGTAGTGTTTATTATCGGGAAGATCACTGTCATCTTCATGTTCTCATAAGTACAACATAAAGAATTCATAGCCAACAAGATGGGATAACTCACGCCATTCAGTTTTAAACGTGTTTACTTCGACTCACCTTCGACGACGCCACAGAAGAATGGCCTCATGTTTTCAAATGTCTGTTGTCCGATGCTCTGGAGAAGTTCAAAGTCCAAGGCGGTAGCCTGAATCTTTGGATTGTGTGAAATATCGTGCAGAGCCTCTACAGCCCTTGGAAGAATTCGGTAAAAATGCGGCCTGGAGATAGAGTCTAACAGAATTACATTTAAATTTATTTTAGTTCTCTTTTGGCCGCCGTCGACTTTCTTCAAGACCGGAGGAAAGCTGAGCACTTGGAAAATTTCTCCACATCTTAGGAAAAGAAAACTAAATCCTCTTTCTAAATTGGTTTTGACGGCCGTTCGAACTGTTCGATCGATTTGTTTTTTCGACAATCGTTTCCACTTTGTCACAGCTTTTCCCATTTTAGGATCAACAGAAGCTATTCGAACCGCGGACGAGCCACAAACCTTTGGGTTACATGACAGGGTCTGGTCTCCAGACTCTGTATTATGGAACGCGCAGATGTCTGGGTAATGAGTGTCGTCACAAGTCCTATTTTCGATAAGTCCTAACGGTCCATAATGTTCAATAATTTGCTTTATACCATGTCGATCTGGTCTAAGAAAAAAAAAATATGGAAATGACTCAGCATAGGATAGCATTGCTTGAACGTATCTGCCAATCAATCTCGCTTTGAATCAGCATCTAAAGAAATTCAAGCAGAGAAGATATATTTACAACTATTTTATCAAGAGATCTCTCGCAGTAAAAACAAGCCACATTGGCACTAATCCTAAGAGAAGGAAATCAAGCCCATTTAACCGGTTAAACTGGTTACCTTTTTTACCGGGTAACCGGTTGGCGGCTGGAAATAAAATTAAGCCTTATCACTACAACAGAGAATCAGTGATTTCTCTTCCTACCTGTGAGGCTTGCATTTGATTTCAGTTCGGTGGCCTAAGCATAGAAGTAAAGATACACTATAGAAATAGAACTTCATTATCAATCATCCTTTTAGACGAACAACTAAAAGTTCAGCGCTCTTTCTCTTTTTAAAAGATTGTAATGTTAATCGAGGTTGTCCCTACCTGATATATGGGTAGTTTTCGAGTTCTTTTTTGGAGTCAGTTTCAAGGTAGAATTCATCGGTAACCAGAGCACAGTCTCAAGTACCATCAGAGCTAACACAATACAGGCGAGCTACGTGGAAAGTAGAAATAGTAAAGATTAAAATAATTCCACCTTAGACTGAATAAAAATGTCTGAAGTGATAAGCTATCACAAACATCTCCAAATCTGTGGATTGAGGTGGTTGAGTTGAGAGAAGACTATGACTTCTCCAAAATGTCAATCTCAATCGGGAAGGAAAGGTAACTGAAGTTAATGTCTCGACCAAAATTTCTCGGTTTGATGGGTTACCAAACTCTCTTGCTTTTGGAACCTCGCTCTTCCTTGAGTATAAAAATCACTACTTGGTTTGTTATCTTTTCTTTAATACCTGCAGCGTTTACAATCTACTATATATCCTACTCAGCTCTCTAAAAAAAGGATCTAATAACCCTGGTCCCGATCCAGAAAGCCTATGAAAAACATGAAGAAACTTGAAAAAAATGATAAGAAGGAAAACGAATCATTCACGTACCAAAAACATCCCACATCTTAATGAACGAATTCGAACCAGTTTAGCAAGGATCATACTGATAGATGTAAACCGAGAGAAAATCTGAAATAAAACCAGAAAGATTTAAAGCAAACATACAACCTTCGGTCTTTTCGGCGTTTTTTTTCGCCTAAAATAGAACTAAGTCCAATCCGTGGAGTAGCATCAGTCAAAGAGGTTAAAGTGTTCAACATTTGCCCATGGAGACTTAAGCACAACTAGACTTCTTTCTTCTCTTTTCAGATATTGCTAACTTATCTGAGAACTATGGCTATGGAAACTGTGATCAAACGTTTCGGGAATTCATTGTGGCGAGTATGGACATTCACGTTTTCCCTCCAACCGGGTATAATGAAGATGAAGTATTCAGATTCTCCGTCAAACAGTTCGCTGAACCAAGAGACAGTACTTTTTCTTAAATCCACAAATGTAACAACTTACAGCAAGTTTGTGTCTTGCGTAGACAAGTCAGTTGATATCAAGCTCTGCACGTGCGCCAAAGAACAAAACTCTTACGTCATCAAAAAAGGAGTGTTGTTCGAAAATGGGTGACGTTTTTAGAGTCTCCGTCAAACACTTCGTTGAACCGAGAGACGCAGTATTTTTTTAAATTCCATAAGAGTAACAAGTTACAGCAGGTTTGTAGCTTGCACAGAACTAAAAAATGGAGTGTAGAAAATGGGTGAAGTTTTAAGAGTCTCCGTCAAACACTTCGCAGAACCGAGACATGCAGTATTTTTTTAAATTCTAAAAGAGTGACAAGTTACAGCAAGTTTGCAGCTTGCGCAGACAAGTCAATCGATATAAAGCTGTGCGCATGCACCAAAGATCAAATCTCTTACGTCACAAACAAAGGGGTTTTGTTCGAGGATAGTGTACCAGGCAACATCAAACAGCAATAAAGTAAACGGCGGGAATTATTCGAGATTGATGTTGTTACCACAATCCACTACTAGAAACAATAGAACCTTCGGTAACATACCAAACGCATCTTATGTCGCTTTATTCCACAATTTTGACCAAGGCATAGATTACCTAACCTTCCTGGTTGCCTTCCTACACGAAACACGAAACACGCAATTTCGAACACGAAATCTTAGGCTTAATGAACTGATATGTTTCTTCCAGTGGGTGGATAAAAATCCACAAACCCACTGGCATTCATTACGGCGAAGACGGCCTAACATGCCTATACGCTTACCCGGAGGCTTTCAAGGACGCATAGAACAGGACTGTATCGTATGTATACATATAAATATTGCATTTAGACGTTGCTTCCGGTAAATTGTTTACATTTAGTATAAACAGCAACGGTTCAAGTATTGACCCCTGAGGGGTCAAGAAACTGAACATTGATTAGTGCGTTAAATTAATATTTACCGAGTCTAATTTAATCCTTAATCACAACCGACTTAATGAAGTTGCTTATTTTCCGTTTGGTCACCAAATAAAATTTTTCTTATTTCTGTTTTAAGGGTAAATGAATTTTAGCTGCGGGTGTGCTGGTGTCACGAAAACTCAGACTTCAGACCTCAGAAAAACTTTCACCCCTAGGGATCTCCAAAACTAAGCCGTCCAACAACAAGGGTCCATTCTTTATTGTTTGTTATCTTTGTCAATCTGATGCAAGATCAACAGGAGAATTTGAGAATTTGTTGTCTGCTCTTCATACTACATGTCATAGCAAAATAATATCAGCGACAAAGCTTCCCTCGAGAACCTCCACAGATGCTTTATTGAGGAAATAAATCGTTGTGGTGGATATACATATTTGAAGTAGGAATTCTACTGGAGACTATTCATGATCATTTTCGCCTTCACACGAGACACCAAAGAAAAAATTCACTGAGTTCGAGAATCTGACATTCATTTTGGGTATCGTGGGTCTTAAAATTTGGCTTACAAAGCGCCAAGAAGATTCCAAATGCGAACGCGCTCCAAAGATCTTTTATACTTAGACATATATCAATTTGATAAGCTATGGTTTAAGGAGGTCAAGGTTGTGTTGTTTGAACCAACTGATTTTCAATGTGAAACTAACTCTCACATCCAAATTTTCTCGCGAGATGTCTCATCATTCGCACTTTTCTGGCTTGTGACTGGTCTTTCCAATTAAAGGCGAAGGAAAAAAAAATAGAAGGAAAAACCTCACAAGGACGATGAAAAAGGAATTTTCAAGAGTTTTTTCGAAGAAGCCTTTCTCTAAAGAAAAGCTTTGCGTGACACCCTAAAAAATGCGAAGGAGACATAAATTTTAGGTTTTTCTTCAGTCATTCATTGTGGGCATTAGAGCCAGCGGTT